GTTTTACCAAGAAGTGATCTTTAATTCTAAACATAGATGTTTCAAACAAACGTGATTATATTCATCACTTTTGTCACAAAAAGTCAAGAGACTAATGACAAATTATTTGACTCTCTGTGGCATGAGATATATTTATCTATCAGTGGAGACAAGGAAAATCTCGAACCAACATTCCATCTAACCTAAACTTCATATTTGGATGAAATTCATACGATTAAAAAAAATAATCTTAATTTTTAAATTTTTTAAAATAAATATTTGTACATATTTGATTTACATACATTCAAGTATGACATACATTCATTTGTAATAAACTTGTGCTCCATAACAAAAAATTATTTCTTAATTTCCATTCGTTCTTTTTTATTCTTAGAATTATTAATTTGTCCAGAGCTTTATATGATTATTGAATTTTAGCATTAATCAAACGATTAAAAGCATGATTCGTATAATATAATGTATAGTAGAAGAAAAGAATAAATAACCCTACCATTATAAGAATATTTGCAATGCAGAAAAGTACGCAACTTAAAATACTTGCACCAATAATCAATACTATCACTGAAAACACAATGTATAGTCTATTAAAATATGAATTAAAATATGAAATTTTTCACAATTTAAGAAACAAATATATCATCTCTTACCTTGAACCATCACAAAACCAACAAATGCAAATACAGCAGTAATAACAGCAAATACAATAAACAAGAAGATAGGTATCAATAGTGATACTATTGCAATAAAGATAGCCACTTGTAGAAAAGGATTATGAGTGAATTGCTCCTTAAATTTGAGGATATATATACGAACGTTGGGATGATGTAAAAATGATTGGTATTTTTTAGCTCGTTCTTCATCTGAAATTAAACATTAATTCTTAGCTCACCTTGTGTGATTATGTAATACAAAATAAAATATATTTACAATATGCTGTATAAAATAAACTCACTTACAATACATAATTATGGAATTGTATATGCAGTTGTCACTCTGTACCTAAAATAAACTGAGATGAAAGCACAAGCAAAGTGTAAGACAAGATGAAAGAGACAATAATCTTCATTCGCTGCAGAATGTTTCTAATAACATATAAAATAATTTTACCAATCGAGAGATCGACTGTATATTTAACTTACCTCTGTCATTTTTTTTTTCGAATATTCAAAGTTTTTTAACGGAATTCTTAAACACCATCGAATACTTTATCCATACCATGACTTGCACACCGTAGTTCGAGAAGAGCGATTAAAAGAATAAATAAATATATTCTCGCTTTTATACGTATTATTCTCTTGAGGATAAATAGCTAGTATATCAAAATTCAAAATTTTCGGTTTGTAAGTAAAAATTATCGTTGTCATTAAATTACGGGTACAGTCAAAGGCTTGCTACAAATGCTTTGATGCATTTTTTGATTGGTGCATTAGTAAAATTCTTTGGTTTAATTGGACAATCAAACACTTTGAAGCATTTGTAGTGTTATATTGACTGTAGCCTACATCTTGCATCGTATATATGGCTGCGTTCCAAAACTCTATCAACTCTGGAGAACCCAGGATAGTGGGGGAAAGAGTCATGGCGTTTTTCACTGGGCAAGGGGTCGATTATGTATCACAAAACCTAAAGTCCCTATAATAAGAGTCCGGATAGAATTGTCTTCCATCCTATTGGTGTTGACAAAATGATGGAACTAATAAAATGTCTTCAATTTATACTTTACGCGTGGTATTATTCAAGTAGTACGAATGAAATAATATAAAAAATAAATTCATTTTCAACAGTTTTATTTATATATAAAAATATAAAGAATACTAGTCTATGTAAAAAATAAATATTAATTAATAATAGCCTTAATAATAACATTAATAA